AAAAGAGGAAATTAAAAAGTTCCTGGAAGTCAATGAAAATGAAAACACAACCTACCGGAACCTATGGGACACAGCTAAGGCAGTCCTGAGAGGAAAGTTTATAGCCATGAGTGCATATATTAAAAAGACTGAAAGATCCCAAATCAATGACCTAATGATACATCTCAAACTCCTAGAAAAACAAGAACAAGCAAATCCCAAAACAAATAGAAGGAGAGAAATAATAAAAATAAGAGCTGAAATCAACGAAATAGAAACCAAAAAAACCATACAAAGAATTAATGAAACAAAAAGTTGGTTCTTTGAAAAAATAAACAAGATCGATAGACCCCTGGCAAACCTGACTAAAATGAGGAGAGAAAAACCCAAATTAGTAGAATCAGGAATGCAAAAGGGGAGATAACAACAAACACCATGGAAGTCCAGGAAATCATCAGAGACTACTTTGAGAACCTATATTCAAATAAATTTGAAAATCTTAAAGAAATGGACAGATTTCTAGATACATATGATCATCCAAAACTGAACCAAGAGGAAATTAATCACCTGAATAGACCTATAACACAAAATGAAATTGAAGCAGCAATCAAGAGTCTCCCCAAAAAGAAAAGTCCAGGACCTGATGGATTCTCTGCTGAATTCTATCAGACCTTTAAAGAAGAACTGATACCAACCCTCCTTAAACTGTTCATGAAATAGAAAGGGAAGGAAAACTGCCAAACACATTTTATGAAGCCAGTATTACACTTATCCCAAAACCAGGCAAAGACACCTCCAAAAAGGAGAACTATAGGCCAATCTCCTTAATGAACATTGATGCAAAAATCCTCAACAAAATAATGGCAAACCGAATTCAACAACACATCAAAAAGATTATTCACCACGACCAAGTAGGCTTCATCCCAGGGATGCAGGGGTGGTTCAACATACGAAAATCAATAAACGTAATAAACCACATTAACAGAAGCAAAGACAAAAACCACTTGATCATCTCAATAGATGCAGAAAAAGCCTTTGATAAGATCCAACATCATTTCATGATAAAAGCTCTAAGAAAACTAGGAATAGAAGGAAAGTCCTCAACATTATAAAAGCTATATATGACAAACCTACAGCCAGCATTATACTTAACGGAGAAAAACTGAAACCATTCCCTCTAAAATCAGGAACCAGACAAGGATGCCCACTATCTCCACTCCTATTCAACATAGTACTGGAATTCCTAGCCAGAGCAATTAGGCAAGAAGAAGGAATAAAAGGAATACAAATAGGTAAAGAAACTGTCAAAATATCCCTATTTGCAGACGACATGATCCTATACCTTAAAGACCCAAAAAACTCTACTCAGAAGCTTCTAGACATCATCAATAGCTATAGCAAGGTAGCAGGATATAAAATCAACATAGAAAAATCATTAGCATTTCTATACACTAACAATGAGCAAACTGAAAAAGAATGTATGAAAACAATTCCATTTACAATAGCCTCAAAAAAAATCAAATACCTAGGTGTAAACCTAACAAAAGATGTGAAAGACCTCTACAAGGAAAACTATACACTTCTGAAGAAAGAGATTGAGGAAGACTATAGAAAGTGGAGAGATCTCCCATGTTCATGGATTGGTAGAATCAACATAGTAAAAATGTCGATACTCCCAAAAGTAATCTACATGTTTAATGCAATTCCCATCAAAATTCCAATGACATTCATTAAAGAGACTGAAAAATCTACTGTTAAATTTATATGGAAACACAAGAGGCCACGAACAGCCAAGGCAATACTCAGTCAAAAGAACAATGCAGGAGGTATCACGATACCTGACTTCAAACTATATTACAAAGCAATAACAATAAAAACAGCATGGTACTGGCACAAAAACAGACATGAAGACCAGTGGAACAGAATAGAGGACCCAGATATGAAGCCACACAACTATAACCAACTCGTCTTTGACAAAGGAGCTAAAAATATACGATGCAGAAATAGCAGCCTCTTCAACAAAAACTGCTGGGAAAACTGGTTAGCAGTCTGCAAAAAACTGAAACTAGATCCATGTATATCACCCTATACCAAGATTAACTCAAAATGGATCAAGGATCCAAGGAGGTGGGGGGGAGAGGGAGGGGGCGGAGCGGGTGGTAAGGGAGGGGGTGGGGGCAGGAGGGAGAAATGACCCAAGCCTTGTATGCACATATGAATAATAAAGGAAAAAAAAAAAAAAGAAAGAAAGATTCAGGTTGCCAACGCAGACACGTTAATGAAATAAGGCCGTCTAAAAAGCCTGTATTGATTGGCAAGGATAAATAAAGACACTTCTACATAAAAAAAAAAAAAGTTAGAACCAAGTAGCCAGGCATGGTGGTGTATACCTATAATCTCAGCACTTGGGAGGCTAAGACAGGAGGATCACCATTTGAGGCTAGCCTGGGCTACACAGTGAGACCCTGTCTCAAAAAAAGAAAAGAAGTTAGAACCAAGCATTTAGCATGCATTTCACATATGAGCTGTACCTCAGAACAATGAAGATGAGAGTAAGCTCCTAAGAAATGGAAAAAACATAATGTAGAAATAGTACTATTTTGCAATTCTTAATAAATGAATAGATGTAGTCAATGATCATGGCAGCTAGTTTTTATTCTTTGTTGCTCTGATACCAAACTCAAATTTCACCAATGTGTACTAATTTTCATGAAATACAGAGAATAGACAACCACACTAAACTACAACTCAAGTATACAGCTAGCAAGTGCTGGGGATGTAGTTTAGTGGTGATAGAGCCTTTGCGTAGGATGCACAAAGCCATGTGTTTGATCCACAACACTGCAAAAACGCAGGATTTCCAATTTATTAAGTATTTCAGTTTGAAAATAACTATAGTTTACACTTTTACACTGCCATCTTAAAAAAAAAACAGAGAAAGAATACAGTTAGCAAACATATTTTGAGGAGCAAGAGTCATGGCTCATTGGTAGACCACTTGCTTAGTATGTGTAAGACCCTGGGTTTTAATCTCACAATTGCAAAGAGTAATAATAATAAATATCCTGGCAAAAATACTACTGTATGATGGCTAATCTACGAACCAATAAGAGGGCTGGAGGTGTGGCTCAAGTGTTAGAGCACCTGCTTTATAAGCATGAACATGAAGCCTTAAGTTCCAACCCCAGTTCCACCAAAGGGGAAAAACAAAACAAAAGAAAGCTCAAAGAAAAATATCTATAATGAAATATTTTTAACCCCAACACTTGGAAGACTGGGTAGGAGGATTTTAATTTAAAGATCAGGCTGGCTACATGGCAAGACGCTGTCTCCTACACAACCATTCAAAATCACAACTTGAGATTTCAACAAAAATAACAAATCAGAAATGGGCAAGAGTGAGGCCCTGGACTCAGTATCCAGTGAGGAGGGAAGGAGGGAGGGAGGCAGGAAGGAAGGGGTTGCATGGTAAGAACAGGGGTTGGGGATGAATAGTAGCAGAGTGCTTTCCTAGCAGGTGCACAGCCCTCAGCACAATAACAACCACAACAACAAAGAAATCCCACCACTCAGGAGGCAGAGACAGGAAGATCGTTGAGTTCTAGGCCAGCCTGGGTTACATAGTGAGACCCTGTCTAGAAAAGGAAAAGCGAGAAAAGGAAGGAAGGAAAACAAAAGAAAAGTATGGGGATAATCAAAAGTGATTATTTATAGATAATGTCATCTGTGAGGCTTATAATCCAAAAGACCCATCAAACCATTAGATAAAGAATTTCAGCAAATGTGCTACAAATAACACTCAAAAGAAATCACTGAAATACCAAAAAGGGGGGGAAGCAACAAAATTCTCTTTAAGGAAAGAATTATAAAACAAAGCAGACCGAATTAATACTAAAACATTATTTATCATAATGAATAAATGTAGGGTAAAATCACAAACTGTCCTCAATTTAACTGTTAAATACAAGCTCATTAAATCCAGCTCAAAAAATATACCAAGGGGGAAAGAGGGAGAAATGACCCAAACATTGTATACACATATGAATAAAAGAAAAAATATATATATACCAAAACATATAATCCCATTGATTCCAAAATGATTTTTGGCTGGTTCTCTGTTGGCACTAGACAAACATTCTGAAATCTATACAGAAAACTAATAATCTGAGAATTAGTTGAGATAATCTAGAAAGATAATCATCAGGATAAAGAAAGTGCTTATGTAAATAAGGATATGCAAAACTCTGGTAACATGAATAACAATATTGGTTCAGGGAAGTAGAGATTAATAAAACCTAATAGAGAACCTGAAACAGCTCTCAGAGATGTGGTACTACACACAGCTGTAAAGGACTGACCAGTGAACAAATACACGTGGAGACAATTGCTTTTCCACATATGGAAAAAAAGGAAATTAGATTCCTATTGTATACTATATATCAAATTAATGAAAGAATTTTTATCAAATATCTAAATCAATATATAAATCCTTAGCCCAGTGCTGGTGGCTCACGCCTGTGATCCTAGCTACTCAGGTGGCAGAGATCAGGAGGATGTCAGTTCAAAGCCAGCCAGGGCAAATAATTCGCACGATCTAACTTGAAAATACCCAACACAAAACAGGGTTGGTGGAGTGGCTCCAGTAGTAGAGCACCTGCCTAGTAAGTATGAGACCCTTAGTTCAAACCCCAGTACTTACGGGGGTGGGAAGGGGACCAGGAATATAAATCCTTTGAGAAGACTACCATATACAGACAATTTTGATGCCAAAGTACTTTCCTTTTTCCTCCTCCACCCCACTTTTTTTTTTTTTAGCAGTACTGGTGTTTGAACTCAGAGCTTGGCACTTGCTGGGCAGATGCTCTATCCCTTGAGCCATGCCTCTACCACAAAATGGGTAAATGATTTAAATAGATATTCCTAATTTTCTGAGTAACACAACATAAGCTAGAAACATCTTTAAAATTACTGTAAGTTTTATACAACTCTGCCCATTTTTAAAAATTCTTTAAAAAAAATCTATTTTCATAAAGTCTTCTGTTGTATTTACAAATAATCCTTACCATGATTGGCTTGCCCTGAAATGTTTTAACTTCTTCTCTTAAGTATTTAAAAGCCTGAAAACAAAGCAGAAAAGATCTTTCATCAGTATTCAACATTAAAGCTACCTTTACTATATAAAACACATTTGGTATTATGAATTGTTTCTAAGATAAAAAATTCTGGAGGTGATAGGGAATGAAAATAAAATATTTAAGACATTCTCAGCTACAGTTCAATTTATTGTAGAAGTGCACTACTGCAGACAAGATGCTTAAGATTCAAAACAGAATTACAACTAAGTATTAAATTAAAATAACTCAGATAACATAAGATGAAGAAACTTGTTTACAAGAATAAAAATGAGTTTAGAAAGATATCACAGATATATTTTTGTTCCAAAGGAATATTATTTCTCTTACCTTTAAGTAGGAAATGAACAAGAATAAAACTACAAACCTATAATCCCACCACTCAGGAAGATCTCAAGTTCAAGGCCAGCCTGGGCTACATAGGGTTTTCCATGACTGTGTGGGCTGCGCAGCAAGACCCTCTCTCAAAAAAGGAATAAAACCATTAAGTCAAAAATCCAAGAATTTTTTGTTTTTATTGCAGACCTATTATATTCTAGAAATACTAACTATTGAGTACATGGTTTCCTATCCTTGTATTCATTTTTTTGTTTTATTGGTGGGACTATGGTTTGAACTCAGGACTTCACGCTCACAAAGGAGGTGCTCTATGGTTTGAGCTTTGCCTCCAGACTATTTTGCTCTGGTTATTTTGGAGATGGAGTCTTGCAAACTATTGCAGGGGCTGGCTTCAAACAACGATCCTCCAATCTCAGTCTTCCAAGTAACTAGGATTACAAGGGTAAGTCAGTGTGCAGCTAGGTGTTAATTTTTATATTAACAGGAAATAAACTACTCTTAAATTGAAAATGGTTAAAAATAAGCCAATTGAACAAAAGCAAAACAGTGAACAAGGTGCTCATTAGTCTTTATAAAAAGAGTAAACATTTTCTTTCTTTTTTTTTTTGAGACATGGTCTTGCTTTGTAGCCTCAGCTAGCCTTGAACTCACAATCCTACTTTCAGCCTCCTTGTGCTGGGATTACAGGTATACAGCACACCTAGGGCATTAAGCATGCTAGGCTAGCACTCTACCACTGAGTCATAACCCTAACCCTATTTTCTTTCTTCTACTTTTTCATTTTTGGTGGTACTGAAGATTTGAGCTCAGGGCCTCCATACTTACTAGGCAGGCACTCTATTACTTAAGTATGCTTTCTGTCCATTTTTACTTTAGTTATTTGTCAGATCATGCCTTGCATTTTTGTCCAGGGCCAGCCTCAGGCCACAATGTTCCTATTTATGCCTCAAGAGTAGCTGGTATTAAGACTGCCTGTTTGTTGTTGAGATGGGGTCGTGCTAACCTTTTACTCAGGCTGGCCTTGTACCCTGATCTTCCCAATCTCTGCCTCCTGAATAACTGGGATTATAGATATGAACCACTATGCCTGGACCATTTTCTTAACTAAAAGATACTACAAATTCTCTTACTACCAGGACTTGTATCAGAAGAAAAACTTTCTTCTCACCTGTTGTGCATCTGTATCTGATTGGAAAGTGATATACCAGTTGCTATTGTGTGCAAACTCACAGCTTATAACTTTGGGGCAGTTTTCATTTTTAAACAAAGATTTCACTTCCTAAAAAAGAAAAAATTACAGTTAATAAAATAAACTCGAAAAATGTATCAACAATGAACTTTTGTTTAATAGTATGGGTAAGCACATCTTTTTTTTTTTTTTGCAGTACTGGAGTTTGGACTCAGGGCCTTACACTCACTAGGCAGGCACTCTACCACATGAGCCACACCCCTGGCCCTGTTCATTTCTTTTGATCCTACAACTTTACTTAGCTGTTTATTATTATGAAACAAAAACAGGAACAATTGCAGTGTAAAACTTCATATGATTTAGGGATGAAATCTTATTATAGCATCAGTAAACCAGAAATATATAGTAGTGGGCTACATTTACAGTAAAATCTCTCCGGTCCTTTCTCTGCCTGACCTGCCATTATTTAAAGAAAAAGTCCATTATAAATATTTTGTAGGCCTTAATAATATTCATGAATTCTCACTTAATTCAGATGCTTTGTTCACATCAGAGTCATAGACATGAACTCTGCAAACAAATCTTTTCTATAACTGATATAACTGGAAAAAAAGGAAGTCCAATAAATATGGATTCAGAAAAAAACGAATTACACTAAAACTCAGTATGGAAAAACAATTAATGGGCTAAAGAAACTTACAAAAAGAACAGAAAGAAAAGAACTAGACGTGAACACTGAATATTCACGAAGTTACAAAAGGAAAGGAAACAACATCTGCTGAAGTACTATTAAGCACTGCAATTTACTCCTCAAAGCAACGCGAGGTTTAAGATTTATCACCTCCATTTTTACCACCCGAATCCACTTAGTCTACAACCAATTCGAGTATGAAACAAAATTTAATAACAACCAGCAATTCCAAAATATAAAATAATCTGACTGGGTCAAACTATCAAACATCTGAACATTAGATATCAATTTTTAAATAGACTGTTCCCTCGTTGATTGGAAAACTAGTATGGAAACAAAGTGTAACCTGTATAATTAAGTCCATCAAATTTTTAAGACACTGAATTAAAAAAAAAAAACGGTTTATATATGTGATGTTACTAGGTCCAATAATATTTATGATAAATCAATGGGCAAACAGTTAAGTTCAGTAACTTTTGTAAAAACTGGGAAAATATTACCATATTCAGTTAAGAAAATTCTCATCCAATCTAAAATAACATTTCTGTATGACTATCTATGGAACTAAAGCCATGAATAGATGAATACATTCTGAATATTTCAACTTCCATTAAAACATATAATGAATGAATTTACTTAAATCTTACTAAAATCCCTATTTTCCACCTTTATCATTTTGTAGAAAGTTATGTTCTCAGACTGACTTTCCTAAGCATAAGAAAGGAAGTCTGAATTTACTATAATGAAAAACTTATCCTAGTGGGCCACCAGTGGCTTATTCCTGTAATCCTAGCTACATGGGACGCTGACATTGGAAGGACTGAGATCTAGGCCAGCCCAGGGAAATATGTCGTGAGAGCCCATCTCCAAAATAACCAAAGCAAAATGGATTGGAGGGGTGGCTCAAGTGTTAAGACTATTTGCTTTGCAAGTGTAGGGGGAAAAAAATCCTGTATGAGAAAACAATATTGAATCCTGTTGAAATTCTTTTAAGCAGGAGGGAAGGGGATGAGAGAGAATGATGATAGAATGAACCTAACCACGGTATACTGTATGCACATATGGAAACCCTCTATACAACTAATATATGCTAAAAAAAATGCTAAAAAATTTATCCTGACAGGAACCTTAAAGTTTACCCCCTTAATCCCTCGTTTTAATACGCACTTCAATGGATAACTATTGAACAATATAGGGTAGGGGGAAAAGGATAAGGGGAGAAAAATATAGGGGGTTTGAAGGACTAAAGTACAATATGTTTATAAGTAAAAAATCAAGGCAAAACCCCACTGAACAATGAACAGACACTAGAACAAGGAAGGACAGATATGTAATACAGGTCATGTTATAGGAAGGGTACTAGTGAGAGGGGGAGATAAATGAAGAAGGTAAAGGAGGAAGAATATGGTTGAGGTACAATCAAAGTCATTTCAAAAAGGGGAATGAGAGAAAAGGGACATTAATGGAAGGAATAAATATATGTATATATTTAAATATATGGAAATGTTCCAATAAAACCCTCTGTGAACTATCATATACTAATAAAAGTGTTTAAAAAAAAAAGAAGGGAAAAAATGCACTTTAGTGATTTTTATCTAAATTAATCTTCTGGCTATTTTAGTAATCTATATTTCCTTTATTTTTTATAATATAGATTATTGTCATACTGATTGATTTACTGTTATGTGTATGAATGCCTTAACCAGAATAAATATATAAATAAACATAAAATTTGCCAGTGTATTTTATCCTTCAGGTACTGGCCCAAGCTCTTTATATATTTACTCACACAATTCTTACAACACCTCTATGAGTTACTCATTACTATTATCCCATTTAGCAGATGCAAAAACTGAGGTAAACAAGGTTAACATCCTTAACTTTAGAGCTAGCTAGTAAAAGCTAGAATTCAATCGCAGGTGTATTGGCTCTAGAGTGCAGGCTCATACACAGTTTTTGTTTCTTTGCTTTCCTTTTTCTTTTCTTTTTTTTTTTTTTTCCAGAAAGGGTCTTACTATGTAACCCAAGCTGTCCTCCAACTACTTCCATTTTCCTGCCAGTGCCTCCTGAGTGCTGAGATTGCAGATGCTACCATGACTTACTTCACTGTTTCTTAATATTGCAAATGTTCTTTCCACTCTGATTTTCCTTTTCTGTTACTTTAAACATAGAGTTAAAAAAAAAAAAAAAATCAAAGATCTTTTGACAATTTTTTTTTTTTTTCTCATTGCTTCTAAGCTTAGGAAATCTTCAGTTGGTGCAGTGGCTCAAGTGGTAGAGTGCCTGCCTAGCAAGCATGAGGCCCAGCACTGACAAAAAAAAAAAAAAAAAAGAAAATCTAAGAAGAAATCTTCAATCTAAAGGTTTAATGCTAAATGAGTTGGGTAAAAAAGATTAATTACTAAGGTTAAAAAAAAAAGTTTTGTTTTTTTTTTGGTGATACTGGGTTTGAACTCAGGGTCTGCACCTTGAGCCACTTCACCAGCCCTTTTTTGGTGAAGGTTTTTTTTTTTTTTTGAGATAGGGTCTCTCAAAACTATTTACCCAGACAGGCTTCAAACTACAATCCTCCTGATCTCTGCCTCCTGACCTAGGATTACAGGCATGAGCCACTAGTGCCAAGGCTAAAAATTCTTTTCTAAATGGCTAATAAATCAAGCTGGATGTGGCAGTACATTCATGGCTATAATTCCAGCACTTGGAAGACTGAAAACATAGGACTGTGAGTTGAAGGCAAACCTGGGCTACACAGCCAGACCTTGTCTTTAAAAACAAAACAACCATCCCTTTGTCCCACCCCTTTTAAAAGAGACTGTCATTTAACAGTTAATTTATCCTTGGGCAAGTTACTTAGTCATCCTTAGGCTCCTACTTCTCATCTGTAAAACAGAAAATAAAACCCTTGTCTTTAAAAAACTACAAAGCAAAAATATCTAGCAGAGCTCAATTATTAAATGTCATTATATATACATTGTTATATAAATGGGTCTATTTCTGGATTAAATTGTTTCAGTCAAGTTTTTCTTTTTTTTTTTTTGGTGGGATTGGGGTTTGAACTCAGGGCTTTATGCTTGCAGAGCAGGCACTCCACCACTTGAGTGACACCTCTAGTCCAATCTGCTCTGGTTATTCTGGAGACAGGATCTCTTGAAGTAATTGCCTGGGCTGGCCTCCAACCACATCCCTCTTAATCTCTGCCTCCCAAGTAGCCACAGTATTGCTTTGTATTTTGCTAACCAGGAGGATTAGTCTTGCTTCATAAATCTGTATTCAACTTTTTGTTTTCATCTATTGTTCTAGATGTATCCTGAAGTTCCCAAAATAGCCATTTTTAATTTTTAATTGCCATTTAGTCAAACCAATAAATTCAGAATTCACTGCAAATATACCCTACCTTTCAAAACCACAGAATTACATCTTTTCTTCCCTTTACAATTGTAATACTTCAGGATTAACAAAACAAATTAGTATTCACCCTATTGACAGTAATTGATAGAGGCACTGACTTATATACTTTGCTTTCCTATCTCCTCCAATTTAAACAGTTAAAAGAATATTTAGCTTTAAAAGAATGATTAATGATTTACCTCTACTGGTGTTGTTTCAGGAATCTCTCTGAGAATTACAATACAACGCTTATGACTTGGTCTCACCTTCTCCCCCTTCTCGTCAACTTGTACCATGGGAGAAGCTGAAATTTAAAAAAAAAAAAAAAAAACAGAACTCTCATGTAAAAGTGACAAGAGACAATATTAATAATGCCATTTAAAAGCTATTCATTTCAATTTTCAACTGAATAAATTAGCAAAGATTACTGTTAGGATTTAAAAAAAAAAAACCCTGAGTTTTATGCAAGGAATATTATCAAATGTTGCCCATTTAACAAATATTCTGAGTATCTACTTTGTGACTCAGCACTGTGACAAGGTAGAAGAGAGTCTTCGGAGAGCATAAAACACATGATTATACTTGAATAATGCATTTACTTTTTCTTTTTTGGGTGGTATAAGAGATTGATCCCAGCGCCTTACCCATTATGTTTACTACTACTACAAAGAGCCAAGCCATCATTTAGATGATGATTTTGAGGATAGTACCACACAGCCAAAACATTTGCTTCTAGTTCCTTCAGAGAGGTAATATACCACATTTCTCTGAACACATTAAGAAGGGGACTGGGGATGTACCTCAGTGGTTGAGTGTTTGCCTAGCAATCATGAGGCCCTGAGTTAGATTCCCAATACCAAAAAGAAAGAGGAAAAAAAAAAAAAGCAAGAATAATAATAAAAAAAGAAAAAGCTGGGCACCAGTGGCTCACACCTGTAATTCTAGCTACTCAGGAGGCAGAGATCAGGAGGATCACAGTTCAAAGCCAGCCCTGGCAAATAGTTCATAAGAACCTATCTCAAAAAAAACCATCACAAAAAAGGGCTGATGCAGTGTCTCAAGATGTAGCCCCTGAGTTCAAGCCCCAGTTCTGCCGAAAACAATAAAAAAAAAGAAGACATTAAGGGTGACGGTTTGCTAATTTCCTATGTAGACAAGACTGGGACATATTTAAAAAATGATATTGATGAGAGCCCATTAGAAACTCCATTTCTACATAAGTCCATTATTACACTTACTATATTTAACCTTTAAACATTTGAACATATTTCATATACAAGTGAAAACTGTCTTTAGTCAAATAATTAATAAAATCCACTTAAGCGAGTCTACCAAGAAATGTTAACACAGAACACAAATACCACTAAAAATTCTTAGAGCCTAAATCAAGAGAATCAAAATTTTAGTGTGACATAGTGGAACATGCCTGTAATCCCAGTATTTAGGAATCTGAGGAAGACAATTTTGAGTTCAGGCAGTCTAGAATACATTGTGAGGCCAGCCTCAACTAAGTAGTAAGAATCTTGTCTTGAAGGGGTGGGGTGCGAGGGATTGCTGGTAACAAAGTTTAAATGGTAAAGCACTTGCCTAACAAGTGTGAAACCCTGGAGTTTAATCCCCAGTACCAAAAAAAGAATGAAACAAATTCTTGCAGAGCTTGATGGCATATGGGTATAAATTCCAGCACTTTGGAGACTAAGGCAGAAGGATCTTGAGTTTGAGGCCAACATGGGAGATAGTGAGATCCAGGCAAATGAGGGAGGGGAGGGGAGGGGAGAGGAGAGAAGGGGACAGGAGGGCAGGGAAGGAAGGGAAATTCTTTACCAAACTCTAGAGTGTTTGTCAAACTACAAGTCATAACTCTTAGGTCATGAAATCAAATTTAGAGTAAAAGAAAAGAGTTCATTGCAAACATGTAGCATTAATGTGAGAAACATTTCAATTGTGTGTAGTTATGTGGTAGATGTACTAGACTGTGATGTAAATGTCCTTACTTAGGTTCAAAAGCTTGAAATAGTATGGGTGTTGTGGTACATGCCTATAATCCCAGTACTTGGCAGGTTGAGATGGGAGAATCAAGAGTTGGAGGCCAGCCTAGGCTTCACAGAGACTGTCTCAAAACAAACAAAAAAGCCCTCAAGTTGGAAATCTATTTCTTTTAAGGGATGCAAGGGTGATATTTTTTCCAATATCCCATAAAAGATTTAATTGCTTATACTTGATATGTGAACATCAAGATGAACCAAAGCACAGAATTGATACAGAAACTACATGTGTACACACACACACCCCAGTCAGGAAACTAAATTAGTGGAATAAAATAGAAAAAGGTCAATTGAAACAATTCCCTGCATGATCAGAAGTCAAAAGAATATTTACTTTTTAAATTTCAAAATAAGTTAACAAGTATTATTTACATACATCTCAACACTTCAAGAATAAGATCAGGATCTGTGGTCAACTTTTTTATTTCTTCCATGTTGGCAACTGTCCAAATTGGAACAAACTGATCACTATCCATTTGCGACATCAAATATAGGTCTTTTGACAAATTTTCTCTGAAAGGGATAAACAGAAGCAACATAACAAGCAATTCTTACAAGGCAGCTAAGAAAGTGTACCTTATTCACTTTTAACACTATGCTATTAGAAATAATATGATAAACCATGGAAGACTCAGTTATAAAAGCTCAATTTAAAATATACCAACATAATATATATCAGTAACACTTTCACAAAGTTTCTGAATCCCTACACATATCTGGGACCAATAGTTTTAGATGAGAAATTTTTATATTATATTGATAAGTGGCTTAATATTAAAGTCCACACTATAGAGAATTACATCTTGTAAACATTTGGATCATCAATGTTAAAATATGCACATGGGCCCTTTCTGATCTCTGAGGGGACAGCAAGAAGATAGCAATCTGTGAACCTGACCACGTGACACACTAATCTTAGACGTAACCCAGAAATAAATGCCTGGGGTTTTTTTTTTTGTTTTTATTCAGAGAGAGAGAGAGAAAGAGAAAAGAGTATGACTATGAAGAAAATAGTAGTTTACTCATGAGTTGAATCATGGAAGATTTTTTAAATTTGTAAATGTTTGCATTTTTTTATAAGTATGTTTTACTTTTGTAACTTAAAAAAATATATATTCCCTTTTGGTGGACTGGGGTTTGAACTTAGGGCTTTGCACTTGCAAAAATGGGCTCTACCACTTGAGTGCACCTTCAGTCCATTTTTGCTTTGCTTATTTTGGAGATGGGCTCTCACAAACTATTTGCCTGTGCTGGCTTCAAACCATGATCCTCCTGATCTCAGCCTCCCAAGTACCTAGGATTGCAGGCATGAGCCACCAACTCCCGGCTAAAAATACATATTTAAAATTAAGATAAAAGATTCCTTATTAAAGTACCTTTTTAAAAAAGATATAAACACTTCTATGTTACAAGTAACTTTTTTTTTCCTGTACTGGGGCTTGAACTCAGGACCTACATCTTGAGACACTACTCCAGCCTTTTTTGAAATGGGTTGTGTTGAGATAGGGTCTCATAAAACTATTTGCTTGGGCTGGCTTTGAGCCACACTCCTCCTCATCTCTGCCTTCTGAGTAGCTAGGATTATAGGCGTGAGCCACCGGCGACTGACAAATGTAACATATTTTTAATAAACTAAGGTAAATCAAATGCTTGTCTTTTTTTTTTTTTTTTCCAAGACATGGTCTTAAAATGTAGTCCAGGCTAGTCTTGAATTCCTGATCCATCTGCATTAGCCTGCCTAGTGCTAGAATTACAGGCATATGCCTACCATGCCTGGGTCAAATTCTAGTCTTTTTATTCATATAAAATATTCTTCAAAGCAGGCTAGTGAAAAATAGCTAGAAATTTGTGTTTAAAATCTTCCAAAGAGGCTTGCTTAATGACCCTAATTCCACACTGTGCAACCATACACTCTAGATTCTTACTTTGCTTACACCGTACTATTTACTTTTTATTTCCATAGCAATTATCACCAAACATATTCCTTAGTTGCTTATTTATTATGTTTATTCTTTTGTGTCCCCTGGCCAGAATATGGGTTCCATAAAAGATAATCTTTGTTGTTCAATAATGTTTCAAAATCCTTGTGCCTGGCAAAGATTAAGCTCAAAGACCTTTACATTAAAATTTGGCAATGACATTCTTTAGGTTACAAATACCAACATGTTGTTGTTGTTTGTTAGGGGAGCAGTGATATAAGATACCAGTAAAGTTTAAATAAATTCACATTCCAACATAAAAGAACATATTAATGTCAGTCAAATTAATAAGATATTGCCTAATAACTTAGAAATCAGTCATCTGTAAACATGATCTTTGCACAAGTAAGAAGCTGTAGCTTTACCTACCCCTGACTTTCAGCAGGTCTATTTTTATAATCAGTGTGTCAAAACTGATTATAAATCTAAAGAAGATACACAATGTCAGAAATAAATCAAATTAGTAGATATAACATCTAACAAGTGCCTAGTCAAAAGTAATACCCAGCAATTTTACTGGGATACAAATGACACTTGCGTGGCTGGTGTTAACTATATCATAGTCAAAAGTAAAATGTAGTACATCATGACCAACAGCTCCCACTACAAAAACTAAAAAGGAGCCCGGTGCAGGTGGCTCACGCATGTAATCCTAGCTACTCAGGAGGCAGAGATCAGGAGGGTTGTGATTCAAAGCTGGCCCAAGCAAATAGTTCATGAGACCCTATTTCAAAAAACCCATCACAAAAAAGGGTTGGTGGAGTGGTTCAAGGTGTAGGCTCAGAGTTCAAGCCCCAGTACTCTCCCCCCCACCCCCACAAAAAGGTATACTAAGGAATGATACCAAAATACATCACTAAAAGGAAATGGTAACTACCATTCTTCTACTCAATTCTATAGGTATTTTACATCTAACCAAAAAAAAAAAAAAGGAACAATATTAAAAAATGATTTTGTACCGTGAGAAACAGAATTCTAATTGTTTCCTCAGACATTCTTTTAGGTCTTCTGCAGAAATTGCTGAACTGCTTTCTCCTAATGGCAGAAAAAAAAAAAAGAGAGAGAGGGGAAAAGTTAACATCAAATTATCATAGGTAATGAAACTTACATATTGTTGTACTTAAGTCACAAAGTACCCATAAATTAAAATTTACCACCAAACTGCATGTTCACATTTTTTTTAAACTTAGATAGCTCAATGTCTAATTTCTTTCAACCCATCCTTTTCAGATAGATTTCCTATTAATTTAAGAATTATCTTACTGGGTTGAGGACAGAGTTCAGTATAGTGTTTTGCCTATGAGGCAATGGGTTTAATCACCAAAACTATTTTTTAATCAAGAAATTTACAGAGGACCATAATCTTAAAAAAAGCACTTACTATGTTGAAAACACTGCCCTAAACACTTAAAGCAGTAGCTATGTCTTTGGTGGAAACTCAAAGAACAAAAACAACAGCAATCTAAATTTGAAGATAGGAATTAGCTAAACCAAGTGAGACATATTTATATAATTACTGGTAATAAATCTGATGTTAACCACACTATTTCAACTCTCCATTCCTTGATTTTTGTTTTTTTTTTTTTTCCTGTTGTGGACCCACGCTGGCTCAATACTTAATTTTAGATTACTGTATCTTCCTAGGCATGTTTACAGTATTCAAATATTCAGTGAATCACCTCAACTTTCTAATAGCCTTCTATGATTTCTATTGCTTAAATCCAGAAACGTGAACTTTTCTTTAGGAAACAAACATGCCAAACCATCACTTTTTAGAATCTTACATAAATATTACACACTGTTAGCACATCTTCTTAAGAGCCATTAATGATAACAGAAACTAAATTTTCTTTAAATACAAAGACAATAGGATGTATGAGGTTGAGTAAATTTTATCTATCATTTTACTACTAAATTGTCCCACAAGAATGAAAGTGACATTAGATACTAACTTTATTAATAATGTTAACCTTTCGTACTATTTCTATGTATATGCGATGCTGCTAATGCAAAACCTCATCCACCTAAATGCTAACTAAATGCATTATTTCACCTAACCTTCAAATATCATTTATAGCAAATTCATTAAAACATCAACTGATTAACACATCCTTTTAAAACAAGTCTATTTTCAAGTAGTAAGTAGTTATATATAACTACAGCTTGGAAGAACTTATCATCCTAGGTTATCATGAGAATACTAACTCCTCCCTGCTTCAGAAACTACCTTACAAGCCAACAGACATAGAAATGTAGTCTAAACATTTATAAGGCAATTGAGAACAAACATTTCACCATGTTTGGGAGTCACGGAACTGCTTAAAAGCAGAAACAGCAATACCTACTCCATATTTCAAAAAGACCCTTTAGATCTTAAAAAAACTAGATCAGGTAGTCAAAAAAACTATGGTTCTTTTTAGTTTCTTTTAAATTTTATCCATTTAAAATCAAGTAACCACTAATCCATGCTGGTTGTATGAATGTGGAAAAATATTTCAGAAGGTAAATATAGTGGAACTCATAAGTTTTTTTTTTGTTACTGTTTTGGTTTTGGGTTTTTTGGTGACACTGGGGTTTGAACTCAGGGCTTCACACTAGTAAAGCAGGCACTCTACTGCTTGAGTCATAACTCTAGTCCATTTGGCTCTGGCTATTTTGGAGATGGGGGGGTCTCACAAACTAGAACTATTTGCCCAGGCTAGCCCTGAGCTACGATCCTCCCAATCTCAGCCTCAAGTAGTTAGGATTATAGGAGTCATGGGCACCCACTTTGTTTTCTTTTGAAGAGTGTGTGCTATGTAGTCCTGGCTGGCCTGGAACTCAAGATCTTAGAGCCTCTACCACCAGAATACTGGGATTATAGAGGTGTGTCACCACACCCAGCTTGGAACTCATGTGGGGTTTTTTTGGTGTGGTACTGAGGATCAAACTCAGGACATTAAGCCACATCCCAAATCCTAATAGGTTTGTTTTTTTTTTCCCCTTAAAATTAATCTCTACAATTGAACATTTTTATTTTTAAATCTTTTCCTCATTTTTATTATTGTTGTTGTACAAAACTTTTATTTTTAAATATATTCCACAATAACCAAAGTGACAGGAAAACTGGTAGAACTTACAATGATTCCAACTAATACACTTAATAGGACCTCATAAAATACAGGTTGTTTTTAAATTATAAATTTTATTTCTGGATATTAGGAAAAGTACTTTTTTAATAATAACCTAACAGTTCATTTAACATAAGCTTCTTTTCAAAGAAGAGGAAATAGATCAATGCCATATGTTTTGTAAGAATGATAAGGGGAGACCATAGGGTAGTGAATTCTCAATTCATCAATAAAGCTACAAAGATTACCAGAAACTTCATATATTTGGTAATTCAGATCTTCAGGTCCTAAAATCATTCCATCAGTTGATTCTTCAATGACTGCAGTATGTCTTGTGGTTTCACAAGATGGAGGATACATTGCTTCATATTCCTTACACATATCTTCTGAAAGCTCTGTATTACCTGTATTAAAGAAGAGGCAGTCAAAGTAAACAGGAACTCTTTAAATCCTATTTTCAGGAACTCTGGGCACTATGCCTTCAATAACAAGATTTTAAGTAATCATACCAGTTGGAGCAATGCCCACCTGGTTAAATAAGAGTTATTTCCCCACGGGAGGTAAGTTTTAAACATCATGGATAAGCTAAAATGATGAATAATAACTAAAACTTACATAGCATTATCTATGTATCAGAGTGCTCCACATATTTTATTCCCTTAATTTTCAGAAAATCCTATGCTATAAGCAATTACTAGGATTTCTGTTTGGCAAATGGAGTAAACAAGCATGGAAGTCATTAACCCAAGGTCAAACAGTGAGCAAACAGAGCAATAATGGTAAATCAAAACTAATGTATAAATACCAAATTATGTTAGATGCTGGACCCAAAGACACAGATACTACTTGAAATTTATGTCAATTCATTCTCATTGGGCATAAAGACCAATACATACCAATTATACATTAAACATTTATAAATTTTATCAAATGTTGGTTTGGATCTGGAATATCCCTCCAGAAGCTGAAATGATGAAGACTTGGTCCCCAGTGCAGCAATGTTCCGAAGTGGGATTTTGGGGGAAGTGAATGAGTAAGTACTTCACCAATGTATAAATCCACTGATGGGTTCATAAATCAATGGGCTATTTGGAAATGATGGTAACTTAGGAAGTGGAACAGAGTTGAAGAGTGAGCCCCTGAGTACTATATTTTGTCCTTCTCTTTCTCCTTCCTGTTTACCATAAGGTGAACATATCTGCTATACCACAAGCCCCCCACTATTATGTTTTGCCTAACCAAATGGCAATGGGGCCAAGTCACAATCAACTGAAATATCTACAACCATGAATCAAATCTTTCCTCCTTAAAAAGTGGATTTTCTTAGGTATTTTCTCACAGTGACAGAAAACTGACTAACATATCAAATAATCAAAGGATGTACCCAAAGTTCTATAAACTGGTTTGGTCACACATTTAACTCAAATGTAATTTTCCAATGAAATATTTAGGACTTACCCTCAGGATGAGACCCTGACGCTGCCGTTTCATGCCAAGAGCTTTCAGTTCCATGAGTTAAAGAAGGGGCATCAGGATTTCCAGAAGGAATTTCTTGCCATACTTTGGCATTAGGATTTAAACCAGTCCCTTTAGATGTTACCTGCTAAATAATCAAAGGTAAAAAGTGGATTAAAATTACAAATGTAAACTACAGGGCTTGCTTTTAGGTTTTTCTTTTTTTTTGGGGGGGGACGGGTGGTACTAGGGCTTGAACTCAGTATCTCACACTTGCTAATGATCTACTATTTGAGCCATTCCACCAGTCTCTAAGTTACAAATTTAGATCCAGGACTTTTCTGTTAAATGTGAAATAATGTGCTTGCTTTAGCAACACATATATTAAATATGAAATAATTTAGTAACGAGTGTCATGCAAATATTAGCTTTAAAAAAGGAAAAAAAAAAAAAAAAAAAAAAGGGCAAGGTCTCACTATGTAGCCCAGGGTAGCCTCGTACTTGCAATCCTGCTACCTCCAGCTCCTGAGTCCCAGGACTACAGGTGTGTACCACCATACACAGCCTAAATTACAATTTCTGGTCAACTTGGAAATACAAAGCTTTAAAAGTAATGGACGGGTGTTGGGGGCGGGGGTAGGTGGCCCAAACAACGTATGCACATAGGCATAAATGAATAAAAATAAATATTAAAAAAATAATAAATTTGAAATGTCTAGATCAAATCTGACTACCTATACAATAAAAATGTGTTATCTCTATAAAATACTATTTATATCCTCTCCTACTTGAATATGATGAATTTTATCCAAACTCATGTATCTGAAACATTGTGTATCTAAAGCAATTTTTTCAGTTATCTATAGAAATTTCCCAGAATATAACATTTTTACTGCCATCTAAGTTGTGCTACAGACCCCTATCTAAGGCTTAAATGATTCAACCACTGGAAATTTTATCCCCAGTCAAAAATAGTGATCTTGCAAGCATTTTTGTGTTCTTTTGAACCCAGGGTTTTATATATGCTAGGCAAGCACTCTACCACTTAACTAAACTCCCAACTGGAGGTTTTTTTTTTCTTTTTGTGGGAGTGGGGTCTGAACTTAGGGCTTTGTATTTGCTATGCAGGTACTTTACTGCTTGAGCCACACCTCTAGCCCATGAGCTTCTTTTTTTTTGGCAGTAGTAGGGATTTGAACTCAGGGCCTTATACTTGCTAGACAGGTTCTTTAACACTTGAGCCACACACCAGTCCTTTTTTTGTGAAGGGTTTTTTCATGGTTGGATCTTGCCCAGGGCTGGCTTTGAACCTGGGTTGTCCTGATCTCTCCTCCTGAGTACCTAGGATTACAGGTGTGAGGTACTAGCGCTCGGCCTCCCTGAAGCACATTTAATAGAAGAAAATCTATGAGTTTATATACTTAATCCATCCTTTTCTCAATTCTGAGAATTCCAGATATATCCCTACCAAGAAAGGACATGAATACAAAACTCTCATAAGATATCAAACTTCTGAATTTAATAAATACAATGGAAGTATAATATTCATTTAATGAATAAGAGCTCTATGTGAAAAATATAAAATAAAAGAAACGTATGTTTACAAAAAATACCCCTAACTCATAGGATTGCTATGCAGAGTAGACTGGAGTTTTAGTAATGCAAAATAGTTATTTTGAGGTAGTTTAATAAATACTACTTAAACAAAAAATAATTGAGATTTAGAATTATACCTGAATTCAAAACAGTTCAAATATGAACCTGTGATCATGTATAAGCCTGGGAAATCTTAATTCATCTGAACCTCAATTGTAAATTGAGGTAAGGAATCCTTATTTTAAAAATTAATTCTCAGGAGGCAGAGATCAGGAGGATCACCGTTCAAAGTCAGCTCAGACAAACAGTTCACAAGACCCTATCTCAAAAATACCCAACACAAAAAAAGGGCTGGAAGAGTAGGTAGAATACCTGCTGAGCAAGTCCATCACCACCCCCACAAAAAAGTATACTACATACATAAACACTAAGGCATTCCATCAAAATAACTCCATGCTGCCAGGCTCTGGCGGCTCACTCCTATAATCCTAAACTCAGGAAGCAGAGATGAGGAGGATCGGTTCCAAGCCAGCCCCGGGAAATAGTTCATGAAACCCTACTTCAAAAAAACACTCTTCACAAAAAGTGGCTGGTGGAGTGGCTCAAGGTGTAAACCAAGTTCAAACTCCAGTACTGCATATTAAAACAAAACAAAACAAACCTCCAAGCCAAAGTTAAATATAAATTATATCATAGAAAATTAGCTTTAAAAAATCATAAGAAAGTAACAGAATAACATTAAAAACAACAACAAAAACAAATGAGAGTAGGGCTAGACGCTGGTGGCTTACACCTGTAATCCTAGCTACTCAGGACGCAGAGATCAGGAGGATCGTAGTTTGAAGTCAACTAAGTTAAATAGTTCGTGAGACCCTATCTCGAAAAACCCTTCACAAAAATAGGGCTGGTGGAGTGGCTCAAGGTGAAGGCCCCGAGTTCAAGCCCCAGTATCACAAAAAGAAAAAAAAAGGCTAGGAAAATAAAAATCAAGAATGTCGTACTTATATATGCACACAAATGGGAAAATAAAATATCACTTTATACTTATTACATCCGGAAAGCACTTAAAATAATTCCCAGACTGGCAAAAATTTGGCAAACATCCTTTACTAGACTATATAAAATGGTGGAACTCATATTCCCTCTTATTAGCATTATTCATAAAATCCAAGAAATGGAAATAAACCAAGTCAAACAGATGAGGAACAAAGAAAATTATCAAGTTAATATTTGATCACCATAAAAATTTATCTAGACATCACATTTTCTAAAATCTGGAGGCATATTAGTATATTACAAAGAAAAAAATGCTATTAAACTATTACATATATTGAGGGGGGGAGCGGGAGGGGGTGGAGTGGGTGGTAAGGGAGGGGGTGGGGGCAGGGGGGAGAAATGAACCAAGCCTTTTATGCACATATGAATAATAAAAGAAAAATGAAAAAAAAAAAAACTATTACATAAAAATTGAAATATTGGATATATCCCAATTTCCAGAGAAGTTAGAATGTACAAAACTGTGCTTTACAGTTGATGAAAGTATCAACCTGGAAAAAATGCTTTCACATAATGGAATGGAAAACTCCACAGACACCAAAAAGCAAATACATTAGTTCTGCAGACTAGTCATGGTACCCAATGCTTTATATACTATGTTAAAACAAAATTCTAGTTATCTCCCTTTTACAGATTACCCGACTGTGAGAGGCACAGAGAAATAATACATCCAGTTAAGGACAAAGAGGAGGCTGGAGGTATAGTTCCCTGGAAGAGAAAGTGCTTAGCATGCCTGAGGCCATGGGGTTTGTTTCCCAATACTGAAGTCAGATTCAAATACAGGCAGCCTGACTCCATTAACCACACAATCTGGGTTCGCAGCACAGCTCAAGTGGTAAAGCAACTGCCTAGTCAGCAAAATGTCCCAACTTCAAACTCTGTACCACCAGAAAAACAAAACAAAAATGACCTACACAACTATTACAATCCACAGATTATTATAATTGCAAAACAGTACGTAAGTATATAGATATGGGCTGGAAGGAAACATGATCTGCTACAATAACCAAACTAGATTTTTTCCTAGTAAATCATTAACATTAAAATGTCGCTTGAGGAGCTGATAAGAGTGGCTCAAGTGGTAAAGCAAGCAAATCCCAGTACAAATCAAAAATAAAATGTTGCTTGAAATTTGAGTCAAAAAAAAGAATGAATCTAGAGGCTGGACATATAGCTCAGTGGGCAGCGTGCTTGCCTTGCATGCAGGAGGCCCTATGTTCAATCCCCCAGCACTGGGAAAGAAAACAAAAACAAACCTTAAAAGTTTGTATCTACTGAAATTTTCAAACCAGAGTATGAATGTTACAGTGTTTAATACATTGAAATCAAAGATTGTTTTTTGTACCTTTTCTGCTTGTATACAAACACAGTTGTATACCAGTCAATATTTACTTAAATTTGCATCAATGTTAATCATTTTCTTTGATCACCTTTCTTGCATTTCAGACTTTGTACTGGGAATGAACCCAGAGCTGCCCACTTGAGCCACACCCCCTAACATTTTTGTTTTGATTTTTTTGAGGTAGGGTCTTGCTAACTTTGGCTGAGCTGGCCTATGGAGTTCCTACTTTCTCTGCCTCCCAAGTAGCTGGAATTACAGCAGTAAGTCACCAAGCTCCTGTGGTGCCCTTGGCTTTACAGTCTGCTCTGGAAAGAACTAATTCAGTCATAGGAGACCTTGACCCACTCCTTCAAGACAGCATTAATTCGGTCATCAGAGTGTAACTTCCATGGCCTAATCAATTACCTTCTATCAGGCCCCACTTCTTAAACAGTCTACCATTTCAAAAATCCCACACTGGGGACAGACATCATGCTTCTAGAACATGAACTTTTAGGGGACAAACCATATACAAACTATACCAAAACATTCAATTTGTAGTATTTCTTTAAAGAATACCAATGTACTGTTTGTTTTTTGCAGTACTATGGTCTGAACTCAGAGCCCTGAACTTAAAAACTTTCTACTATTTGAATCATGCCTCCAGCTTTTTGGGGGGTTTTTTTCGCTTTATTTTTTAGATAGATCGCTTGCTTTCTGCCAGGAGCTAGCCTCTGGCCTAGGTCCTCCCTACCTTTACCTCCCTCATAGGTAGGATCACAAACATGAACCACCACACCCAGCTTGTTGAGATAGGGTCTCATTCCAATATATTGTCTTAAAGCTAAGTTAAAGAGTAACCCCAACAATTAAGAAGCAACTATAATATAACATTAAAAAAAAAAAAACTTCACTCTATCTCACTACACCTCCTGTCCATTTTGCTCTGGTTATTTTGGAGATGCAGTCTCATGGCTATTTGCCCAGGCTGACCTCCAACCACAATCCTCCCAATTTCGGCCTCCCAGGTAACTAGAATTACAGGCTTGAGCTACCAGCACCAGGGGCAGCTTCCTCATCTTTGAAAGTATAATGCCTATTTTATCACAACTCCTTACGGATAGCGCTAGGAGCATGGCTCAACTGGTAGAGCATTTGCCTGACAAGCACAAGGC